AAAACACAATAAAATATAAAAAAAAACAAAACAAAAAAACCATGGGTGTCTCGATTGTTTCCCCAACTGCACCATGAGACATCCCATTCATCAAAATAAGACCATGTGAGATGTCCGTCAACAAACCAGGGCTAAAATCCAACATTTAACAGCCCTGGGTTACCGCGTGAAAGAAATGTGGGAATGCGAGTGGCAACTCATAATACAATCAGATAATCATCTCAAAGAATTTGTAGAAACACTTGACATCGTTACACCTCTCAACCCTCGCGAAGCATTTTTTGGTGGTAGAACAAACGCCATCAAACTTCATCACAAAGTTGAAGAAAACGAACAAATCCATTACAGCGACATGATTTTGTTGTACCCGTGCGCAAATTTGGGATGCGAGTACCCCATCGGTCACCCAGAATTCATCAACCAACCAAAGACCACAGACATCAGCAGATACTACGGGTTGGTAAAATGTAAAATTTTACCCCCCAATTATATCATCCCGTATTACCATACAGGTACGACTCCAAACTCCCATTCCCATTATGCAGAACATGCGCGCAGCAACAGATAAAACAGCAACCCACAAACAACAAAAGAAGTGAAACCTGCCCTCATTCCATTGAGGAACGGACCCTCACAGGTATCTGGACCACCCTCGAACTTCAAAAGGCCATTGAAAAGAATTATGTCATCACCTATGTGTACGAAGTATGGCATTTCAAGCAACGTTCAAAGAAACTCTTTCAATCATACATAAAAACTTTTATGAAGATCAAACAGGAAGCTTCAGGATGGCCTGCAGAATGCGACACAGAACAAAACAAGATGGACTATCTTGATGACTATCGAAAACATCAAGACATTCAACTAGACTATCAACGCATCGAAAAGAACCCAGGTCGGCGATCACTTGCCAAATTAATGCTGAATTCTTTCTGGGGAAAATTAGGACAATGCCCCAACCAAACCCAAGTCACCACGTGCACAAAGCCAAGCAAATTCTTCTAAATCATCATGGACGACCGACAGATAGTTCATAGGATAGAAATTATCAATGAACATATGGTAGAAGTCTTTCACAACTTTCAAGAAGTATGCGATCCAGTTCAAACTAATGTCAATATTTTTATTGCCTGCTTCACGACCAGCTATGCCCGATTGAAACTGTACGACGCCTTAGATACCTTGAAAGAAAGAGTGTTGTACATGGACACGGGCTCTATCATATACACAAAAAAACCTACAGAAACTTCAATTCCTGTCGGCAACTATCTCGGTGAATTCGAGTTTGTTGCTGCCGAACCTAAGAACTACACCTACAACACCTTCCAAGGAAAACAAACCTGTAAAGTCAGAGGATTCACCCTCAATGAACGAGGACAAAAAATCCTGAATTTCAAAAGCATGAAAGATTTAGTCCTCAACGAAATACTACAGCCAGAAGATGATCAGTGCACATTAACACTACAAAATCCACATAAAATAACGAGATATGCAGCAAAAAAAAAACCATCCAAACAGTATCGCAAGACAAAAAGTACAAAATCGTTTTTGACAAACGTGTCATCAACCGTGACACCTTTCAATCATTTCCCTACGGCTATAAATGCATCTCCACACCTTGATTTCCAACCACAGCATCATGAATGAAATTGATCTTGATCTTGATCCTGATCTTGAACTTTACTGTTGTAAATTCTATGATAAAGACATTGAGGTAAAACACACCTATTTCCTCATCATCCCTGCAGATAAAGACAACACTACAATCAACGTGACTTTTGATCTTGACGCTCAACCCACTGATGAAACCATGAAACAGTAGCTAAATCAACAACAAAGTGGGCAAAGAAAGGTGAAAACATCCGCTATCCAGCATTAATGCTCTTAAATCATGACGAGGAGTAACAGGAAAAAAAAATACAAAAAAATCAAAAAACTCATCAAAAAACTTAAAGATGACTTCTTTAATCTCAAAAAACATTATGAACAAAAAATTACGCAGCTTCATATTCAACTTTTAGATAAAGAGTATTATCTCAGCTCCATTCTTGACTTTATGAACGGTTATTATCATTCTCCTTGGGACAGAGCTGTTTACACAAGTTTCCAAAACATGTGCTTTGAAGATGATAAGTTCTTTAAAGATAATTAAAAACAGTTTTTATCGAAAAGTAACAAGAAAAAATCCGCCAAAAAGAAGTAAAAAAACATTACGAACAGAAAATTACATAGCTTCATATTTCAACTTTTTGAATAAGAGAATATTATCTTAAACCCCATTCTTGACTTTTATGAATTGTAATTTTTTATTCCACTTGGGACAAAACTGTCTATAGAGGTTACCAAAAAATTGCGCTATAGTAATGATTAAAACACAGTTTTTATCTCATTTTTTTTGGTCACGTTTACCTATAAACCCCCCCCCCCCCAAAAAAAAATATATTCTCATCTTACCCGCTCAAACCCAACTCCCACGCTGACAACAGTCTCGCAGCAATTCCATCGGAAGTCCTGACGAACCCTCTTCCACCTCCTCTTCCGAAAAACAACATTGCTTATAATATTAGCAAACTGCTAATAAAATTAAAAACAAAGAAACAGAAGCAAACAACGAACACGTTAACAAGAAGTATTTTGTCATCGTGGCAAATGGTTGACGTTAGCAAACCGTTTTTTCCCCCACAAAACTTGGTACCAATAGCTCGCGGTTCTTGTGACGTCATCAGAATGGAATGTGAAAAATCCGGCTTTCTGATTGGTCCATTTGTACCACGTGACACAAATTTTCGATTCTGATTGGTTAGGCGCTATACCGACACCTATTTACCACTAATCACAGCCATATTCTGACTTTCCTCTGGACTCCCACTTGCCAGCAGAGATCCAACCACCTTTCTTACATTGTTCCGACTTGTGGACTTAGACTCTCACCATTACAGTGGACATAGTTAAGATGTTGTCAATGAACATTGTTATTGCTATTCATGTCAAATCAGCAAGGAACTATTAGTTTTTTGAAGTGGTCACTTCTTTTGCTGTAGCAAACCACCTCGCAGCAATAATGCATGATGTTAGGGGAATACAGTGGGCAATTGGCAAGCTTTTCAGGAAGAAAAAGACACTTACCCAACTCTCAACATAATGACAGTCTACAGACATGAAAACTCATGGGACACTGTAAACTCGCATTAAAGACACTGATCCCACTCTAACTAGCCTTCATTGTTTTCTGCACTTGAATGTTCAGAAAAAGAGAGAAGAAACTGCATTCCCTGAATGACCAATGTCTGTTCTTCCTAGTTGGCACAATCTGTGTTTAACCCTGAAGCATTACAGAATAGCAGTCCCCTTCTTCAGATTCCAGAAGAGAGATTTCCTTTCTCCAATATGTCTTTGACAGTGGTGATCACAACAGTAAGACTAAAGCACATGGTAGTGCAAAGAGGTCTGTCAACACAGTATCACTACAACTCATGTACCACCATGGAGGGGTTAAAAAAGCCTGCAAAATCTGAACCTCCCAGAAGGGTATTTTTTAAAAGCTATGAAGGAAAGGGAACAGTCCAAGATTTTAGGCACATAGGTAGCCATGCTAGAATGTATGACAGATCAAAAACATTTAGAAAGTTACAGACTGTAATAAAACCGCCTTTGCCTGTAAAGTAGAGATTTCATCAGATCCTACTGCACCTCACTACCTGATTCCAGGTGCATTCATCACACTATCTCCAATTGTAATATACTTAATTTCTGATACAAGTGATTTATCATGTTTTGCTGTTAATCCTCATCTCTTAATTGAGAGTTTCTCTGGGTATATGTTGATTCAATTTTTTTAACTTCACAGTAACATTAATGAACTCCTGTAGCTTTATTTCTCACAGCCATACTAGACTAATCAACTCCTTTAATTTAAAAACACCAATCTGTAAAACGAGCACTTTCCAGGCCCCCTACTTTAATTGCATTGTGAAACGTTGGATTTACTCTTGTTCTATTGCTCCTTCTTTTAGTTTTTCGAGTCTGCTCTCCTTCCTGCTTTTCATTGAACAAACACTTTTTGACCGCCTGAGAACATCCTTTGACATTGACTGGCCCAGCACATGGACACTAGTTAGAACTTGCTTCTGCCACAAGCTATAGGTGCAACTGACACCACACAAACTTGTTGTATAATACAGATTTCTTGTGTTTTATTGTATTTTAGCTACAGGGTGGTGCCTCGCATGGGACGCCAGTCCTGTTTGCACATGCCCTTTTGGGTTAGAATTAATTTTTGTTCCTATCTTCATTTATTTTTGTCTCTATGTAATATGTTTTTGTAGTTAATACTATGTTGTAAACCCAATAAAGTTATTTAAAAAATACTTGTGTAATTATCAAAGAATAACCCTGCAAACGGAGTCATAAATAAAGTGTCCTTATATACCCTTTACACCTCTTTATCCTTGTGTTGTCTTAGCCACAGACCAACAACTTAAGGAAATTAAGAGATTTTGTATCAATCCTAGTCAATTTAGTGTTTTAGAAGTGGATCTTACTTTTAATAATATTATGTGACTCTAACCATATAAGGCACTTCCTTCTCTGAAAAAGAGATTACAAGGAGAGTCTGGATTGGACCAGCCCTCATCCACTGCAAAAGGGAACCATCTAGTTACCAAAAGCTTTTGTCAACTACAATAAAGCTAAATTGAAACACTCAAATGTCCTAGTGTGTGGTACCCACAGAGAAAAGGCTTTGGGTAAAGGTTTCAGTAGACCTCTCCATTATGCCCAGCATTTGCTGTGTGACCATCAAAAGAAGGATAACATAATGTCAAAAATGAATGAACTTGAATTTTGAGGTAAGCCATCAGAAGTAACCCTCAAAGAAAAATGTGAAAAAGATATTGGTTCTGAGAGGGTTCCTGCTTTAACAGACATTGAAAGCCACACCCAATTAGGACCAGTCTGAAAATAATTAAGGAAGAGTGGCTTTTGTTACACCTACTTTCAGAGCGATATGTTGCCTAGTTTTATGAGTATAAGGCTGACATTATGAGGAAAATAATGACAGCTGATTTGCAACCCATTGATAGAGCCAGAACAGAAAGGAATAAATTAACTCTGTTATTCAGCAAGAGAAACAACTTACTAAGAAAAGAAAGCTCTCTATTCCAGAATTTGCAAGGCTGTTGCAAATAGTGGTGGAATGAAAAAGAAAAGAGGAGGTTCTTGCATAAACTGGGCTTGAAGAGCTGCCAATGGATAGAGTGTAAATGGAGGAAGGAAGGAGTCCATTCTTGTGGGTAGACAAAGGCACAAGAAGAAGCTGCAATTTTAAAATTCCTCAATATTCCAGTCAAAAGAACTGGCTTGATCCCAACTGATTGAAAACACAATCATTGAACATTAACCCATTAACGTCTGGTGCACCCTCAAGCACCCAGAAATATAACCGTTCTCAAATTCCAAGCACAGTAGCTGGTCATTTACAAAGGAGAAATGCTCAATTGCCGCCTGAAAGGAGTAGTACGATAGACTCAAGTCCACAAAAAGTAATCAAGGCAGGAAAAACAAATGGGAAGATACTTTGAAGCTGTTTCAAAGTATGTGCTTTGACAATGGAGTGGATTCTGAAAAATCACTAGTGCAGTTAAAGGAGAAGTGGTGGGCGCTCTTGGATAAATACAAAAGTGTATGTGACAACAACAATCACACAGGAAGGGAATGGAAAACGTTCAAACACTATGAAGACATAGACGAATTTATGGTTTCATCAGACAAAGTAAATCCTGATACCGACAATTTTTTGTTGACTGGAAATCAAGACTGTGGCAAGAAACCAGAGAGACGGCCAGCCACCACTGCTGAAGGCAATAGCAAGGTTGCAGAGAAAACTGGAAAAACTGGGCAACAGAGGGGAAAGGACCAAAAAAAGAAGAAGAAAAGGCTCAGTGGCAATGACATAGAGCTAGCAATCCTTAACATGATGAAGTCACAGCAAGAATCCATACAAAGATCCAAGGAAAATGACAAGAGAGTTTTTGAAGCTCTCCTCAAATCTCAGGCAGAAGCTCAACAACTACACCAAGAATTTGGTGTGTTCATGTTAGGAAAACTTGGGGACATATTTGCTCCTAAAAAATAGGTTTCAACTCAGTGCTTTTATTCCAAAGAAAAAAAATGAAGAGTTTACTTGATTGCTGCAAAAAGACATTTTAATTGATCTCATCGCTATCATCTATGCTGAGTTCATCTCCTCGTAAAAAACATGAATGTTATGTAGCATGCAGCACACAATGATAGTGTCAGGTATTCTGTCAGTGTCTTCCTCTAGGCAGTTAAGTAAAACCCTCCATCTTCCTTTGGTCAAACCAAATGCGTGTTCGGATACTATTCTCACCCTAGATACCTCTTGGTTAAAATTTCTCTGGTAGTGCGTAAGCCCACCAGTATCCTTGAATGGTTGGATAAGCCAAGTTTTTGTTTGGATAAGCAGTGTCTCCCACGATAAGAGGGTGCTCTATAGTTCCGCCTAAGTCAAAGGTGGGTTCCATTTGGATATTCTCATCTTCAGCAGCCCAATAAACGTCAGTCAAACGTAGCATCCAAGCATCAAGTAGACTTCCAGGAAAACCAGTGGCATCAGATAAATAGAGGCCAGAAGCATCAACTATTCCCTGTACTAAAAAACTGTAGAAATGTTTCCAGTTAAAGTAGTCTTCGTGGTCAATTTTTGGGGCCTTAATAGGTACATAGCTTCCATCTATCGTTCCAGCTACATTAGGTAGTTTACTTTTATTGTTGAAGCCTTCAATTTTTTTAGCTATCTCTGCTGCAGTTGATTGAAACTTGATGAATTCATCTTGATGTTGACAGATTGCTTGAACAAATTCATGGCAACACTTTAGGACAGTTGGTTTTGCCAACCCAACCATGAATCCGCATGAGCGGTAGCAATCCCTGGTAGCTAGTCGCCAGAGGCTTGCACCAACGCTCTTTGGAACTAGAATGGCATCTTGCATCCTAGTGTTTTGTCGCTGGAGCGCCGGTCCAACGAGCTGGCATATATATTCAAAAGTATCACGAGAAACTCTAAAGTTTTCTTTCCACAAGTGATCCAGTGCACTGCTATTTAGAAGTTGCTGAAACCAATTGTGTGGTCATGGAAATATCCAAGCTCTCCTTGGCTGGCAGGCAAGTTTATGACAAGCTTGTTAATGTAAACAAAATGCTGACAAACCTTGAAGGTAGCATAGTTGAAAGCGCCTTCTTTGGTGTCTTCTCCCAAAAAACTGCTGGATGGTTATATTTATGGTGGACTGTCATATAATAAGCAGGAGAATCACTGCAATTGAGCTTAATAGATCTTGATTCGTAACATCCATGTTGCTCTGTACTTTCCCGCCAATTTGTCGGGTCAGTGAACTCATATCTAATTATATTTAACCCTGAAGGGAGTCTGTTACTGTGTAACCACATCCCCAAGGGTAACATGAAACCTAAGCTTAAACAAACCCAAGCCATTTACCCTCCATAAAGCCCCAAACCCAAGGTGTATGTAACCACAGCTAATATATGCCTATGAAAGCCAATAAATTTGGCATCAAAGTTTTGGTGCTCACTGATGACAAAAACTTCCTCCTCTCGTGGTTCCAAATCGCACTAGTGAACTAATTAAACAAAAAGGTTTGGGATACTATATTGTTTGGACACTCAGTGAACCATATCTGGACAACTGCTGACATTTTTTCCTGATTATTTTTTTACTTCAGCTAATTTGATGCGAGATTTGGAGTTGAGGGGTACTTACACTTGCAGCACTGTGCACACAGACAGGAGAGACTATCCTGCTGAATTGAAGCATGCCAAGTTAGTTCCTGGGGAGATCAGAACTCATCAGTGCAGAATTTGGTGGCTACAATGTGAAGGGACAAACATGTTGTATCTCTCTAATCAACAAACACTCCTCTGGAGCCCAAGATCCAAGCTGTACAGCAGGTTGTGCGAGAAAGAAGAAAGCGAGTTGTCCCCGCAGACTTGAAGGAAAAGCCAGATGTGGTCACTGTGTATAACAAAGGCATGAATGGGGTCAATGCCAACGATCAATACCAGAGCTACTATACTCAAGGGTCAGTTTCCCAAAAGAGGTGCAAGTATTTGCCTTGGTTCTTCTTAAACTTGTCCATCATCAATGGTTATATTTTAGAGAAAGTTGAAAGAAGGTGCAAAGCCAACTAGCCTTCCAGCATGAACTGGCAAGGCTCCTTATAGCTAGTTATGATGGCTATAAACATTCCTCAACATCAGGCAAGTGTGTCATCCAAACTCTCTCAAGTAAAGAGAACTTGAAAGGATACTTTCTTGAAAAGTTGCAGGGCAGAAAGAAAGCGTGTGCCATGTGCTCAAAAGATGGAAAAAAATGCAGTGGAGGACGCATCTTCAAAACCTCGTACAGTTGCAAACAAGGTGGCATTGCCTTATGTCTGCTAATGTGTGGCGAACTCTTCTGCTTTTCAAAATGGCATGGAAGAAATTAACAATAAAATACAAATAACCTTAATTCTTAAATTGTATCACATTTTTTTTTGTTCTTTACTACAATCTTATATGTACTGCCATGGCAAGTAATCAGATTAGTGCAAATCATCACTGGAGGTTGTGTGTTTTTGCAGTTTTGTTCTTTGATAAAAATTATGATAACTAAAAACCGTTTGAAAATCTTCCAAGAACACACACTTGAGTACAAGATAGAGAAACAACAGGAACAATTTTTACTAAGATTAAAAGCATTTCCCCAAAGAGTAAATTTTATCTTGAACTCAGATTCATTTACAAAGTGATAGAGGATTTTATCAGCTCTTGTGATGTTTTCAAAAACTATCTGGTATTTTGATTCAATAAACGTGAAGTAAACTGAAGTACCTAAAGAAGCTCACTAATTCCACTGTACATAGACTCATAACACTCTGATGAATACAAGCCCTCCACTATTGGAAAACACCTTTGTGATGCCCACAATCACAGGAACAAAGATCTACATGAACAATTTACCACCCTTAAGAAATGTTGTGGGGAATATGAATGCTTATTACACAAAATGTTCTTTATCCTATCAAAGAAAACAAAACTATATTCGTTCCTTTATCAACACCTCTACATTCTACATAAGAATTTGAAAATAGTGGAAGAGTGATTGAAGTATCATTCAAAATTATCATCACTGATTTATATTGTTTCATTTATTGTTGTGTAACTAAGGAATTTAATTGGTGAAGTTAAGGAATTAGATTTCCTTATTTCAATGTTTTTCTTGGATCGAACAAATTATCATTACCATCCTACCTTAAGTTCTAATGGAAATAAAGTTATGTGTGTATGTATGGTAGTTCAATATGTACGATGAGCTGTGAGACACTTTAATATAATTATTCATCCCCAAAACTTGCTCAATCTTGATTTAAAACTGTCCCAAATGTTGGGTTGTACCTTGACTCTCATGTCCTGTTCTCATGTACTTTGTAAGAATACTTTGTACTTAAAGATAAACTTGATACAAAAGATTTAATACACTACTCTTCTTGGAGCCTGCACATGTGCATCACTGGGGTTTTGTCTGCTCATACGTAATTACAATAATTACTCTCAAAGCAGTCAAAAAATTTATGAGAGTTTGAAATGATCGATGAACAGTTTAAATGGAATATCATGCAGATACTCTCTTTCATTTTGATTGCATTCACATCAATATATTTCCATAACCATTAGCTTATCTCATATTTTAATAGGGTATTAATTTCCTCACCTGTAATAACAATGCTATTGTAGTCTTTTTGTCGATCATATGTGAAAACTAATCAATTTTGGTGAGTTGTAATACAGGTTTGCGTGCATTTCTAGTGAATGTAGTGGTGGTGAAAGGTTGACATTAGTAGTACCTATGTTAGTAAGGTGTTTCTACTCGTATTTATTGCAAACAATATCACTCACATACATTAGCTCAGACAACCTCTTCCTCCATGATGTCAATATATCTGATTATCATTTTAAAAGAGTAAATGTGTTTTAGTGATACTTTTGGAACTCCTTCTCTTGTGCTGTGATATAAGTTCAGATCTGTTCCAAATTGGTCTCTTGTGGAATTTGATTCAAACCTGTTGTATCAAACCAAAGGAATTTCTAAAATTTTGCCACAAGATAAGTATTAATACGCAGAATTTGTATTAAAGCCAACTTTTCAATCTCTACCATGTATAGTAATAGCCCATATTTTAAAAAGAAAATTGCATGTTAGCTTATGTCATGAGCAAGTGTGCAAAAAAATTTCATATCTTCTGGCCACTGTGTAATATCCTCTATATATATTTATATAAAATATATGTGGTAACCTTTTCTTTTTCTTTTCTTAATAATCTCTTAGGATAGTTTATTAAACTGTTTTAAGAGTATCTAATGAAAGATAAAGATAAAGACAGGGATGATTAGAATCACCTCCTCCAAAAAGAGCAAAGAGTTTCAGTTTTCTTTCTGATACTTAATTACTTTACTTATTTTGTCACTTGACTAATTTATCACACCCTGCAACAGGAGCCACTCTATACCCACTCCTCAGGAATCAAACAGTTTCAACCAAACTCAATCACTACCGACAGGGAAACCAAGAATTGAGAAGTCAGGAAGAGACAGCCAATACTACAACATACTGAAGAGCTACCATGACTCCAGACACAGAGCCAGGAAACACATAATCCATGGGCAGAAATTTAGGACAGTCAGCGGTTCGTGACGCAGGCTCTATTCTGTATATTTCGACCCTACTGAGTCTGCGTAGCTTGGTTGTGAAGCAGTTGGAAAGCTATCAGTGAGCGAAATGCCAAAAATTTTGTTTTATAAATCGCTGAATGATCTCAGTACCGCGGATTTTTACACAGAGAGAAAGAGAAAAAAATATAGATTCTACGAGATCGAAAGAGTCGTTCCAAAAAGAGTCGGTAAGGAAAAGGTAAGTGAATCTGCTTTGCTCCGAGTGTTTGACTGAAATGAATCTCTCTTTCATAATGAATACTCGTTAAACCTTACTCAATCATTGGTCTAGATTGAATATTTCATCAAGTGGAAGGGCTACTCGAGCCTACAAACCTCCTGGGAGCCAGAAGAGAATTTAAACGCCTTTGCTTTGAGGTGAGATATCATGTGTGATTAACAGCTTTATAATTACACAAAAAACAGGGGGAATTCGTTACATTGGTTTCCTCTGTTGATATTCTGTGCTTGTATGGAATAATTTCCTACTCAATGTAAAAATTGTAATACTATTTTTTAAGATGAATGTTTTTTCCTTGCCCTTAGAACATTCAACAACCCAAGGCTCACACAGCAAGAGATTGCTGATGCCAGTGAGGGTCTCCACATTGGCATTTTAGAGCAGTTAAAATCAAAGTCTCAATTTCCCACTGTCATTGCTTTTAACCACACTTATTTTAACTTTTTGTTTAAAGATAAGGGACGGAAAAGTAACGACAGTGGATACATCCTCCTTGAAAAACAGAATTTTATAAGATGCCACTTTCCTAATGGGTGGCACAGGCTAATAGATAGTATAGGGGATGGGGTGCAAATTGACTTTCCTGTGAAGGTCAGATTGTTTTTGTCATGGAGTCCAAAGACTCATAACTTGACAGGGGAGTTAATTACACCTTGCCCACGATATAGGCCAGAAAAATTGAGTATTTCTTTTTGTAAAGCAGCATGTAGCCTGATATGAGACAAATTAAAGAAACCAAGACTTGATTTGATTCTATTTGGCATTGTGTATTTATTACGAAATAGAAAATCTATATTTTTGTAGTAGTTCATCACATATTCTTATATTGAGTCAAATTTTTCATATTTACAACCTAGAAGTACTTGCGGTGTGCGGGCTGTTTTACAATTTGTTAAGTAAGTATAAAGGACACAAGAGTAGACCTCCACTTCATTGAATGCCAGCTTTAAGAGAACATTTTTACAATCCAAAGAACAAAAA